TATGCATACACGTTGATTTAGAACTTATAAATGAATAAACGATGAGAAACGTAAGTAATAAGTAGTAAAATACTAAAAACAATAATTGAATTTTCCATATATCTTCAAATATATAATATATTATCAGAGACGAAATATATATCAGGGGGCAAACTAGCAGGAGACTCACCTGATGTAAAGTGATACTGCCCATAGACATTCACATTGCCAGAGGGTCGCAAGTGAAGTATGACATATATTCTATGAATACATACACACTATCCTTTTACTAAACCAATTCGAAAATGTCGAACAATTACAAAAAAAAAAAAAAGTTGCAAGTATATCTTGTATACCTAGATGACAGTCTTAAGTACTGCATGACTCTCTGGTTGAACAATTAGTGAGTGATTTTTGTATAAATATTTTGATTAGTAAATAAAAAATGTAATAGCATCTTAGAAACACATCGGACACTGTAAATAACGTTTCTAGGTTACCTCAACACGTTGTAACGGTAACAACCTAAACAGTGGAATAACGCGTTATAACTCCATTCTAAATTTAACATACTATTAAATATTTATGATGGCAACACTATAATTGTGATTGGGTAACCATAATTCGGGTAATTAATTATCTTAAAGCTCGCGTTTCTCGCGTCTCCTCTGAGGGAAAATTTTCGCGTAACATTTCTTATATAATTATTTCACAACAAAAAAAATTTTTGATACTCTTGTAAATGTCTGACTGAGAATTTCAAAATTTAACCTTTATTTTTAACGATTTAATTCAATGCAAACAAGTTTTGATAATTTAATTGTTTAATAAATGACCTTGATCTAGTAACTGCCGTTAAAGTTATTCCTTAATCTTACAGAACCTAAGTACGAAAGGTCAAATTCCAAGGAGCGCTATAAAAATTGACCTTACCCAAACGTACTATAAATCTTAATTAGTTTAAACTCGTATATAAAGTTTATGCATGCATGCATTGCATGCACTATGCAGCATGGAACCCGAATCAGTCGTAACTTTGACAGCGCAAACAATATTTATTTATTGAAAAATCTCGTTTTTAATTTAAAGGACCCAAAGGCTAAAAAGGCATTTAAATTATCACAAAAAATGCCCCACAAAGAATGCTTCGATGGCCGTTGATACATATTAAATAAAATAAAGTAGTAAGACTGACTACATCCCTCAATATGTCCTTGACTCGACATTCATAACGAAAAAAGCACAATTGTCAGAGCTAAGGAAAAAATTTGTATAGGGACAACAATAAAAGAAAAATTTGCTCTTTGCAAATCTTAATTCCAAAACTTATAAGGTCACACTTCAATAACAGACTGCGCAAGGTTGGTGGTTTTGGGGTCTAGGGAAGCCGGTCATTGGCTTAGTGCTTATCCTTCGCCAAACACTGGCACCCTTTTGGACCCTGAATCACTTCGCATTGCTATCAGCCTCCGCTTGGGAGTGCCCATATGTACCCCCATAAGTGTTCCTGTGGCTTTGAAGTAAGTGCCTTAGACTCCATGGCCTTCATTGCCAAAAGAGACCGGTAGTTTTCCCGCCACGCCGCTCTCTTGACTCCATCAATGTTCCAGCCATTTTGGAGCCAAGAGGCATCGCGTGAAAGAGAAAGAAATAATTGACCATACGAACAAATACACACTGAAAAATATATGATCGATTACATTGAAAAAAATGGACATACATATTTGCAAATGTATCTAAATTAGCGTTATTTATTTATTTCCTTATTTCCTATTTTTACAGTAACTTAATACTAATACAATAGAAAACTAACGTAAAACATAACAAGTAAAAACTTAAAAACCTAAACCATTTTATAACTAATTATAAATAATGCAGTTCTTGTGAATTCAGCCAGTGTGCAACTAAATATATCCGTCTCACAAGCAATAGTGTTTAGGGTGCGCAAAACACGCGTAAATGGTGCTTCTCTAAGTATGTTCGTCCGCGCCCGAGGCACTGCCACCAATTGCGATCGCTTACCCCGCCGAGTGTTATATTAAAACCACAGCGAATAACAAAGTAATGTAAGCAAATGTGGCAATCGGCCATTTTTAAAACTATTGGTTCACTAATCAACACAACAAAAAGTTAAAAAAAAAATCGAACAGTGTATATGAATAATAACGGAGAAAGTTTTCCAAACATAAAAATCCTAAACAGCTTGATATTATATAAAACAATAGTTATTGGAATCGGTATTGAGGTTATGGAGTGAGCTTGCTGTACCAAATTTGGTATTTTATGGGATCAAAAGCTATCAAATATTCAGAGGCAGTGTACTAGTCAAGGCTGTACATTTTTCTCACTTAGGCTTTCTTTGTTTTGTAAACGTCACAAAAGAAATATACATTAAATGCTTCTAATTTTACATTTATTGTCAGTTCTCAAATCAAGGGGGTAGAACGGAAGTGAAGAACTGGCAATAAACACTCCGCCCCGAGAGTATAGCCAAATGTATGCACTATCTTCGACTGTTACATTACAATCAATCGTTACATAGCAATAAACATTTCATTATTTCGCTTATATTCTATTGCTGTACTCGAGTGGTTAATTTAAAGTAAAAATAAAATCCTCTGTTATTTAACGCATCCTGATGACCCAGGAACCATACATTTTGGTCCTCCGAGCTATCCGGGATTAGTAGACCGCGTTCGCAAATTTTCTGCGTTTTTCTGAAGATCGGCGCCAAAGAAAAACGTCTCACTGCTGGTTTGTGGGGCCATCAAGCAAGCAAAAAACCATCATCCGTATCAACAGAAAAGAAGAGCACAACATTTTCAAAGAGCCAGAAGGGCCAAAAGTATACCGGTGTCCTTCAACCCAGAACAGGGCAACGGACACGAATCTTCAACTTAAGACATTTATATCCTCTCATTATGTCGTTGAATTAATATTTGCTAAAACATTCATAGATAAGGTAATTTATGTAACGGTGAAGGCAAACTCAGAAGTTTTGTCGAGACGAGGTCGTTCACCTTAATATAATGGGAATTAGGACCTTGACGTGTTCAATTCTAAAAGGCCACGGCCCTGAAAAAGTACTTATTTTGATAACTACATACATCTCATTTGTATATCAGTTATGAAAATTACGAATTGTTCTAATACTATACCATTACCATTAGACACAGAACTATACCATTGGACATACAGAAAGCGAAACGGACTCAAAAAGTTCTAAAAATATCTGATTATTTTGGCCCGCCCAGATAATTAATAGCCAGTAATAGTGTTACGCAAAAATATTAAGTGGAAGTGGGCGGGTCATGTAGCGCGCTTCACAGATCACAGGTGGACGAAAACAGTAACTACATGGCAACCAGGCAAACGGTACAGAGGCTGACCCTACGCTCGATGGGATGATGACATCAAAAAGATCTCGGGTCCCCACTGTCCCCACATCCAAATAGCTGGGGATAGAAAAATATGGCAAGCTTTGGAGGAGGCCTTTACCGGAGAGGGTTCGTGATACATGCTAACTGAAAAATGATATTTACTAACACATAGGGTGATTAGAATTAATATTAGGTACAGTTTTTTAAAAATAAGTTGAAATGTATACCTAGTGTCTCAGTAAATAAATTAAGGCTCAAAAACTTTGAATTTTGAATAAATGCTAAAATTTCATTCTAAATTTTTATTCAGACAAAAAGGCCAGCAACGCACTTGCGGACATCCTTCTTAGGAGTGTCTTTAGGCGGTGGTATCACTTACCTAGGAGAGCCTCCTATTACATAAAAAAACAGCACCAATTTTTTTGGTTATACTATATTCTCTTCGCTCACTACCATTTTTGGATTAATTTATCAAATGTACAGGCTAGGCTTAATATGAAACTTAAAACTAATTAATAAAAATCCTTGATGCATCAATTTATAAAATATCTAAGTTGCCGCTGTATAACACAAAGGCCACGGTCAAGTTGAAAGGTTATTAGAAAAACCCGCTAATGTAAAATTTATTTAATCTAAAGGTAATGAAGTTCAATTCGTCTAATATTAGACTGACATGTGGTCAGTTAGTCACCTACTTTCGCTGTCAAGGTGACATACAAACGTCAGATGATGACAAATTACATTCAAAGACCGCAATTTTAGATATTTACAATTTACGAAGAAATTCGTTTCGCTAATTTTGACTGTTTTGACTGACATAATAAATTTTTTTACCGTAGACTATTACGAATAAAAACAGATTTAGGGTCGCAACTTTATGTTAGGCCGGCAACGGACTGGCGAGACTACTAGCATTGTTAGCCCCCTATTCTATGGTAAAAAAAGCTCAGAAGTAATCATATTGTTTGATTAGCTAATTTATTTGAATTGAATTTTTTGAAGTAATACTTCTTTTGGCGCGTTAGGGAAAAATGATGAAAGTTAATCTTTACGATGCGCGCGCACACCGTGACAAAAAACCGACACTCTGAAGTTAGCTATAGTCAACATTTTAGTTTTTTTATTGTTAGTGTCGTTTTTTCTACAAATGTAGAATAAATTTTTTGAAAAGATTTTTATCTGGTTACGCCAAAAAAAGTATTACTTCTAACGCGTGTACATAAGTACGCACACGTTTTTTTAGTAACATTACTTTTTTATAGACGGACCACTGGTATACCATACTTCATTTTACAAATGAACATGTTTGTTGCTCAGCAATAACTGGCATTGTAGTAGAAATAATTTTGGGAATCAGTGCTTTTTGAGTTAACTCGTGAACGTGAAAACGTAAATTCAAAGTTCTTTTTTGTTTTGCTTCAAATTCTTTATTTAATTAAAATTCATTTAATGAATATATACACAGTTTGGTCATTGATTGTTGTTCAGCCTTTTGAAATGTATTCTTTTCTGTTATATATTATACTTTATAAATGATATTTACATACATTTTAAGCCTATACGTATATGCAACCGCTTTCTCTGTGTTTCTAAAATTAATATTAATAAGAATCATATAATTGATAATTGTTCTTGTTATAGCAAGCTACGTTTCTACATTCTATCTCTCATGAGATTGGTGGTGGTAGCTGCTGGTTTCCATCGAGTGAAGGTGTTGGGGCTGGAGCGCATGGCCAGGGGCCGTGAAGCACCAGTAGTGGTAATGGCACCGCACTCCAGTTTCTTTGACGCCATTGCAATCGTGGTTCTTGGCGCGCCCAGTGTGGTTGCGAAAGCGGATACAGCCAAACTACCCTTCATTGGACGTATGTTCAAAGTGGCGTTCGATTTTTAAAATAACTTGGTTCATTATAGGTTCAAATTTGTAAGACGTACTTTCCAAACTTATCCTTTTGCCTCACCATTGCACCACTATTCATCTTATGTTTAGCGCGATTGAGTTGTGAACCTGGCGGTAACTGGACGGTTAGAAGATGCTATAACTGGCAGAGGCCCTTATTTAACCGATATAACTTAAAACTTAACATTCTCACAAGAAAGCTTTACCGTATCACGAGGTTTTCTTTTTGTGCTAGAGGTCATCTCCGAAAGATGTCCATGGAGACCATCACTCTTAGCGATACGCGAAAATTTCACTAAACTGGGTAATTAATTAAACAAGCGCGCTTAATTTATTTTAATATAACTGTTGTATGTTGTTTATTTTAATATAAATTATTTCCTTATTAATTATTATAACTGTTTATTACGTTTTAAAAAATATATTCATTTGTAAGTATATTTTTAAAACGTATCTAAATTACGTAATTGTTTATTTTACATCGCTCATTTATTACATGAGATTTAAAAAGGGAGCTAGACGAATGGAGTTACGAAACGTATTCCACAACTAAAAAAGTTACTGTAATTGTCATTAGTAACATAGTTGTAATTTAACAGTGGCGCTACAAACTTTTTAGGTCTGGGCTTCAGATTTCTGTATCTGTTTCATGATCATTTGTCTATCTAATAGGCAAGTACCTACTTCAGCAGCCTCCGGTGACACACGCCGTCGACTTTTTAGTGCACAAGGGATCGAAACTAGACCTCAGGAATGAGAGTCGCAAGCTGAAGCCACTAGGCCAACACTGCTCTTAGTCATATTAATATAAACAGTTAAAAACCGGTATAGCGTATGGTCTTAATCATAATTCATCAAGCCATAAAATCTCGCATTTCACATACACATGAGGAATTTACACGAGTTACTAACGGTGAATTTTCTTTATTTCTATTAAATGTAAATATAAAAGGTCTATTATATTTTAACGTAGACTTATTACCGTCTTTGAGATTTGACAAACTTTTGGTAATTTTTGCTGACCCTTCGAATAAAATCTTAGATATTGTATCAAGATATATTTCGAAAATATTTAAGAAAATTTATTATCACTTCGTTGCAAGTATAAAGAAAGTACAATTGTACTTAAATAAATATTTTGAAATTGTAGCTTACGTTTCTCGATATATAATCAATAATAATATCCGAAATAACACTTTCAAACTTAAAATACACTACTTATATTAACTCGATATCAACAGCTTTTTGATTCATGTTAATTCATGAATGTCATTGAATCCTAAAAAGTATGTAAATTATAAGGTAACATTTCAAATGTTGAAAAAAGAATCAATCTTGTCTATGATGAACCAAGTTATGTCAATGTCACGTTGACGTTTGTTATCGCTTGTTTTCGTTTTATAGCTAGTTTCGTTATTTTTGTGGCTGACTTTCGCCTAACCTGTAAGCCGATGCAAATATTCAGAACATTATTTTATAAGATACTTATGTGGTTAGGCGATAGTGCTAATTGAAGTTTTAGTTTTAAGATTTGTCAATTGTCAAATCTTACGACTACATTGTAGCGTTATTTTTTGGCGCGTTCATTTGCTTGCTTCATTAGTGTCTTGTTGTGTGGCTTGTCTAGTTTTTTGTTGGATTCCGTGCATTATTATTTTAACCTATAAATGATTGTTTGTCAATCGCTTTCTCTGTAAGGTAAAGTAAACGCTAAACATTCTACACTTCAACCGTTAACCATGTCGTTTAATTTTTTAAAGCGTTTGATCATTGTCTGCAAGGAGTTCCCACAGACTCTCTTACTCTTAGTGGTGAACGAAAATTTTTGCTACAAATACAAGAATGCCGCAAAGATTATTTATTTAGATTTTCTTAGGGACTTGGTTAACCCACAACACAGGGACTCCCTAGTGTGGGGACTAGCGATATATTTTGTCACAACCTGTTTGTTTTATTATTATTAATATTATTATAGTAGAACAAATGCGTAGAACGGAAAAGAAGAACTGGCTCTCGGTCACTCTTATCAAGTTCTGGTTTTCCAAAATATTTGTATAGAGCTGCAACCTGCATAATGCTCCTCGTTACATCTATTAATATATAATAATGAAAAATAAGCAAAATAAATGTTTAGCCTCTATCAGCAATAGGCTGGTGAATTTATAGGCGTAACTTATTTCTCAAGCCGGCGTTAAATCGTGTTATTCGTGCCCCATACCTCACTGGTGAGACACGCAACACTGCAGCCGTGTTTGAATTTGTATAATGAATAATTAAAATAAATAATGAGTAATTAAGCTTATTTACTTTCTTGTTAACCTCATAAAAGTCTCCTCATTGAATCTAGTTTAAGTTGGTGCTTAAGAGAACTTTAAACCCGCCTCCGAGAAATCCTTCAAAACAATTCTGGAACCTTTCCAACGTTTATCTTTACCTGAATCTTAAATTAATTTGAATTCTGGTAACATTTCTTCAATCTGCAAGAAATACGCTGAAATTGAAAATAGTAATTAAATAAAAAGCAGGGCAACTGGCGGCCTTATCGCTTTTGAGCGACGTCTTCGAGGCAATCTAACTGTAAGGAAAAAATACTTAAGATACACAATGGAACAAAACAAAACACACAAAGTACAGTGTAATTGTTTGAATATTGTTTAATAAGTAGCTGTAGGAATACCATTGATCAAATAAATAAATAAAACATAATATGTATACATTAAAAAGGACAAAAAATTGAAAAATGAATCACGATAATTTCAGTTAGATCAGTTAATACCGGCAACCCACTCGCCATCGTGAATAGGTTGTCCTTTATAACACAAATTACAAATCATTTCGTGACGTAGGAAAAACCGTCAAATTTCGAAACGATTTGTGTTTTTCAGTTTTCGAGGGATTTATCAAAAATTATGCGTTAAATTGTAAGCAAATCATAATTTATTTAACAAAATAAGCTATCATCATAGATTACTTCAGTACGGGAATATCTACTTGTACATTTATATCGCAAACAATACATACACATAGAAAAAAGCAACAAAACATTAAACAGTAATAGATTAAAATATTTACAATGACTATTTCTTACAGTAAACATAACTTTTTGAAAGTATGATTATTGCTGGATTTGTTGCGAGGTGACATATGTGAAAACTTTCAGGTATTCCTAACTTTAATGAATTAAAACCCTTACAATTGAAGTCGATCTTTGTTAATATTCCAATTGTATAAAAAAGAGGACAACGATCGTACCAAGCAAATATCTTGTTACCAAAACTTGGTTTAATATTCACTGAGTTTTTTCTAAGTGCTGAACAAAAGCGTACGATTTTGTCAGTTCAATGTACAATGAAAACATTTCCTGAACACTTTGGCAAAATACTAGCAAATCACTTAACAATTAATTATATAAATGATAGCTATGATTAAATCTAAACACGACAAAATAGATGGAATTTTTACGTCCAATTTGCCAATTAAATTGCCATTTTGTATTATTATAAAACTTGTTTTTTTTTAAATTAATACATATATTATTTAATACATCTTCTAGATCACTGAAACCCTTAATATGCTTCATCGGCAAGATGTCGTACCTGGCTGGCGGCATGGCAATCTCCATTCGCGGACGCCAAGCGAGTCGCAGAGAGGCTCCAATTCTCGTGGTAGCACCACACTCGTCATTCCTCGATAGCTGTATCGTGTATGCTACCAGAATGTCCTCGGTTATCGTGAGGAAAGAGAGCATGGACAATTATGTTGGAAGTAGGTAATTTCTGGTGGTGGATTTTGGGTTGGAGTTGGTTTGGTCGTAATGTGGTGGTGGTAGGTGGTATCGGTATTTATATGGGTTAGAATTAAGTTGAACAATAATGTATATTTAACTGGAAGTTGGTAGTTATAGTAATCATAAGCTACAATGAAAGAGTTAACCTTATATACGAGTAACGCTCGCAACTTAACCAACAATTTTGCCAAGTTTGTTGTACTTGCTCACATTTCACTGGAATTTATATTAAAATATATTTAATTATACAACTAAATAATCCTTAAGAATCACACTATTTATCAATATAAACCATACAAACGTGTTAGGTAATTTTTAGGTTTTCAGACCGATTAACGCGGCTGGTGCATTGTATAATGGTATATGTAAGGAATGATTATATATAAAATAAAATAAAATTTTGAGTCTAAGGCAAGCCGGTTTCCTGACGATGTTTTTCTTCACCGTTATAGCGAATGTGAAATACGCACATAGAAAAACAGTTCATTGGTGCACAGCCGGGCATCGATCCTTCGACTTCAGGGATGAGAGTCGCACGCTGAAGCAGCCACTGAGCCATCACTACTCTTAATATATCGTATATGTATAACTTAAAAAAACTGATTGCGTATAGATTTTCGTGAACGGAAATGCCGTGTCGATATGCTTTGACATTATTGTTAATTTGTAAAGCTTCATTGTAGGCATTGTATTCTTTCAATGTAACGGATAATCCGTGAAGGCTTTTGAAAAGAAGTTTTGTTATGCAAATGAATGTTTTCACCGTTGCACATCTGGCAACTTTTCATGGGAATAAACTGTACTTACGTGAATGTTACACAAAAATTTTGAAATACAAGAAACGCTGTTTACTGTGTATAATTTAAAAGAAATCATAGAATTGTGATACTTAAATATGTACTTGACAGTGTGAAAAAGCGACTTCTTAGCCTGAATAGAATTAATCTTAAAATTATACGGACAATTACAACCACTGCCTCCTTAATATACATCTCTTTGTCTTTGGCCCGACAAACAGTGCCTTGTGCAGAGGCTGTTTCGCCGCAGAGGAATCATTGAGTAGTCCTAGAGTTCGTGTGTTCCCAACAGAAATCCTCGGACCAGCGAGATCGCTCCGTGAGGACGGCAAAGTAAATTCTGACCTTCTGAAGGCTACCTTAATTATCCAGTACTTACTTAACGCACAAGGGACCAAATGGGCGTCTAAGTGCAGAAACTGAGTCCACACTATACTACACATATGTACTAAAAGCGTAAGAAAATTACCAGAGATGGAGCACTTGACTTTTTATAAGCAATCGGAGCCAAAGGAGCCTTCACATCGGCCATGAATGGCAACTACCGTAGCCCATAGGCACCCATAGTCAAAGGATGCTTTGCCGATCATATCTCCTTGATAACACGTCTACTGAGAGCCGACCCAAAGTGTGCTAGTTAGACCAAAGGAAATGCCGGGTAAAACATACCTTAAGATTTATCAATGAAACACTGTGTGATGCAGGCACCTTTTCCCATAAGAAATTTATGGGACTAACTTTGCGGATCACAACCTAGTATTCGAGATGCTAATAGTATTAAATAAACATAGTATATAACACGAGAGCTGTAGCAAAGAACGACTCTTTGAAGAATGCTTTTAACACAAAAAGGGTGAAACTTAGACCAAATTAATCAAATAGGATGATGTCGATATTGAGGTTATATAACCTCTTTTCTCATGGAAACAATAAGTATGCAATACTCTTTGTATTGTACTATTTGGCGAATATCAAAGATAAAAGGAAAAGTTGTTTATTACGACCATTCTGTTTAAATCAGACAGTAAGCAATAAACAAAAACTTCTTAGTTTTTTTAAGACACATTATACGCAAAATGCCTGCATCATGTTGCCATGGCGGCTGCTGATTTATTGAATAACGTGATAAGTATCTTAAAGACAGGAGACAAAAATAAAGACGGGACATCTTAAAGACATGAGACAAAGAAAAGACAGGAGATAAAGAAAAGACAGGACACCTTAAAGACAGAAGGCAAAAAAAGACAGGAGATAAAGATAAGACAGGAGACAAAAAAGGCAGGACACCTTAAAGACAGAAGGCAAAAAAAAACAAAAGATAAAGAAAAGACAGGACACCTTAAAGACAGAAGGCAAAAAAAGACAGGAGATAAAGATAAGACAGGAGACAAAAAAGGCAGGACACCTTAAAGACAGAAGGCAAAAAAAAACAAAAGATAAAGAAAAAGACAGGACACCTTAAAGACAGAAGGCAAAAAAAGACAGGAGATAAAGATAAGACAGGAGACAAAAAAGGCAGGACACCTTAAAGACAGAAGGCAAAAAAAAACAAAAGATAAAGAAAAGACAGGACATCTTAAAGACAGGAGACAAAAAAAAGACAGGAGATAAAGAAAAGACAGGAGACAAAAAAGGCAGGACACCTTAAAGACAGAAGGCAAAAAAAAAAAAAAAGACAAAGAAAAGACAGGACACCTTAAAGACAGAAGGCAAAAAAAAACAAAAGATAAAGAAAAGACAGGACATCTTAAAGACAGGAGACAAAAAAAAGACAGGAGATAAAGTAAAGACAGGACCTTAAAGATAGGAGACAAAAATAAGACGACATTTTAAAGAGTCTTAATATCTATATGTATCCAAAGTTGATATATATTCGACTCCGCCGACTTCTCATTGCAGATGTGACGACTATATATGAAGTTTACAAGTTGACTATATTTCTGATATCCATAAGCACGTTGCCATGGCAACTGCGTTATTGATTTTATACTGCTTCCACGAGATTTCATTGCCATGTGTATTTCATACCCAATTGATATATTTTACTAGAAATGTAACTGATATATAACTATTGCGTAACTATAACTAAACTAATCAGTATTGGCCTAGTGGTATTAACGTGCGACTCTCATTCCTGAAGTCGTAGGTTTGAACACCGGCTGTGCACTTTTTTTCTATGTGCGCAAATCAAATCAAATCAAAATTGTTTATTCAATTTAGATGCGTCTTAAGGCATGCTTATGAATGTCAAAAACGTTTACAAAATTCGCGAAAGAGCAAGACTACGCCATACGTTCGCAAAACTACCAAGAGGCCTTGTTCTGAGGAGATTTTAACAATCGTTCGTACGGTGAAGGAAACCGGCATGCCTTAGACCTAAATAGTCGATGTGTGTCAGGCACAGAAGGTCACCTTGCCTTGAAATAATCATGGCATAGGTAGAGAAATCTGAGGACCAGACCTAAAAGGTTGTAGCGCCATTGGTATATTAACTAAACACATTAAAGTATTAATCATAGTATTTTCAATGTCTTAAAATACAATAAAAAAAAATTAATTAAATTGCTGTTATTTTCATGTTATTTTCATAGTATCATGAAAATAACAGCAATTTAATTCAAGTCGTTCCATAGTAGATTTCAGTTATACATGTTGACAGACATAACAATTACTACCAAAACACACAAAATAATAATAATCAAAAAAAAAAGTAACAAAAAAATTATGGAAAGAAAAAAAGTCATTCTGCCAGAGACCACAACAGTTAGTTTGCGCCTCAGACGCAAAAAATGAAAAATAATGTAATAATAATAATAATAGTAGAAAAAAAAAGCTCTTGTCTTGAAAGACAAAGCCTCCAACCATATTTAATGTAACTAATATTTTAAATATTATTATGTATAGTAGGTCCATCATATTTCATGGCATTCTCAAAATGGGCCATTATGTAAAGTGGATAGACGAAACATGTCTTTGGAAATATATATCGAAAACGCATTTGACTGGTTTTTTAACGATTTGTATGATGCAACACAATTAACTTTAGAAACTTCGATGTAGAATTTTTAGAATTAAACGGTGTTTTGATTCAAATTCTTACCTTGCTTCAGCGTGCGACTCTCATCCCTGACTTTCTTTCTATGTGTGCATTTAATTCGCTCGAACGGTGATGAAAACCGGCTTGCCTTATACACAAAAAGTCGACGACATGTGCCAGGCACAGGCTGATCATCTACTTGCCTATTAGATTGACAAATGATCATGATACAGGTCTGAGGTGATTCAAATTAATCGTTGATGTTCGTTTTAAAATTGTCTTAGTATTTCATTTAGGGTTAAAGGTGGCCGTGTTAGTGTGCTACCCGCAAACTGCGTTTCGCCTTATTATGATTTTTACTTCGCCTACCTTCAAGTATTATGAAAGCACTATAGGATGATTACGTCAGCAGTAGTTGTTTACATTTTTACACATACTACCCAAACATTGTCTATGCTCGAAAACGAAATGCATTTTCGAGGATTCCTATAAAAAATTAGTACGTTTGTATACATACTATTATTTTTGAGAGCGTTGCTCACTTTTGCTGACACGGGGATAAATTGCAGTAAATCTGCTTACGTAATACTTGCCCTTTAGTAGCTACATACCAATATATGGAACATTTTGCTATGCTACAGACTGTTCGCGTTCACAATTACAGAAAATAAAACTGGTTTTTAGTTCCGTGATATTTTTCTCTGCATAAAAATCTTCCTCAGAGTTCAATGAATTTAAAAACAAATTACTCAAATAAGTCCAGCCGTCTTTGAATTTTTATTTATATAGATAGTTTAGACTTTTTGCAAGTAATATCTAAAAAAAATAATGAGTCCTATAAAAACATCTAACTAAATATTTTTTATTTCATTTGAATGTCACAAAATAAGATTATCTATCACTGGATACTTTTATACTAGATAATTTATAAATATATATAACAACGAAACGAAGTATACGTTGTTCATATACATATTCCGATATGACCTTTAAGCGGTTCCGAGTAGTACAGCATAAATCTGCACTCTTCTTGCTCTATCGATCGCCTGTTGAATGCAGCCTCCAGTTGAATGATTTCTAGGCAACAATTTAACGGGCTTTCCGAAAGCTTTCACGCAGTTGAATGTATAGCTTATGTATTGCAAATTGGTTTCGGTAATTGCGGCGTAAGTTTTGACGGTTAAAGTTTGTGTACATCGTCGCTGTCGTTACGTAGAGAGAGTCTTTGGAAAAAAAGGAAGAATAGATGAACTTATTTATATCATTAATATATAAAATATTTTGTATTGAATTTATAATATACGTCATTCTTTAATTGGTTTTTTCAGCTTGATTTGGGCTTTCTTAAAGCTGAAATGCGTTTATAAGTAATGGGTTAAGTCGATAAATACTATTTTTTCCTATACTTAATAAAGTTCACAAAAACAGTGCGACTTTACATGAATCTATACAATATAATAATTATGGCTAATAAGTAATATTATGTTGACTTAATTTTCTACAATACTAGTGAATAGCTTAAACTAAGGTAATGTTCATTAACAGTCTTGTGTTCTATAATGTTTTGATACCATGTTCGTGTGTCCGAGATAACGCACTTGCAATTATAATCACTACACTAGGTTTATTAACTCGAAAGGTTTAGTTCTCTTCAGTCGTCGTATTCATGATGTATCAAGAAGTATCTATTAACGCGAATCATATCCTGCATGATTCAAATAGGTTCACTATAGGGCCAAAGGGATTCACTGCTTCCACAAATCGATAGAAATAAGATAGTAATGTTCTCTGTCTGGATACGGTACGGCATGAATGTCTGCCATCTTGAATTACGCCATTTGTATCGCTATATGTTTATGACTAAAATACCTAATTTGAAACGTAAAAATACTGTTGAATATTGAATTGTGTTGCAATATATACACTTCTGTGAGTGGTAATGGCTGTGTCAACATTTAAGTGGCGGTGGGCAGTCCACATAGCGCGCATGGACAAGAACCCGCAGGCTCCTTGAATGGAAACCTCGGCAGAACAAAAGACCTTGCGGTCGCCCACCGACTAGGTGGCCTGATATCGTCAAGGAGGTTGCCCCCCCAGTGGATGCAGAGATGCCAGTGCTTACTGGAGGAAAACGGCGGAGGCCTATGACCAGAAATAGACCAAAAAAAGGGGGCTGATGATGATGATGTTCTTCTGTAAATAGTTGGTGACTTCAGGTTCCATACATTAGGGTACTAAAATCATTTTAATGATGATCAAATCTCGCTAATCCGTGTTCAAATTAGTCATCAAACTGGCGCCCAATTCGGCCGTTCTTTATATTAATATTTAAAATTTCTAATCCACCTATAGACACGAAAGGCAAAGAAAGTTAAAAATTCAACCAATGGTCTTCAATGCCAAGTGTACGTCATACTTGATCGTTGCAATTGTTTTATATTAAAACCTAATCCCATAAAGAGTTTAATGGCTTCTCGCGTGACAATAGGGCTTCGAGAGAAGGTTACAAGTAAGATAAAATTACGTAACATCAGAATGAATGGATTTTATACATTCGAAGTAATGTTTGGTCGTTTTCTACTGTTTTTCTAATAGGTATTGTAATATGAGGAGTATGTAATGTATGGTAATATTATAAACCGAATTTTCCTTCACGCAAGTGAATAAAAATGAAGGGTCAAAGTCAAACCAATTTAAATTTAAATTGAGAATAATGGAACACTTCTTACAGTCTCTATTAAGGCACCGACTCTCTGCATTTGTCTGTTTACAGTCAAAATCTTTTATAACGACATCGAAGGGACTATTCATATTTGGTCGTAAATCCCGATAGTCGTAACAGCCGATGAGGTTGTTATTAAGAACCTAATACATAGAATTCAGCCAGTACCTTTGATTTTAGTCAATATAACCGGTATGTTGTTCTAAACGATGTCGTCGAAAACGGTTTTTTCTGTATTTTCTTTATGTAGAAGTAATATAGTGACACAAAGGTTTTTTCATTTATTGGTAAACATGGTATCCAGAACTACACTAATACTAACTAAAGACTAAACTAACTAACTGACTCCGCTGGCTATACGACCTAACACGTGTCTAGAACTCCGAAATGAAAATCGGATTAAAAGGATTTCTTATTTACTAAAAATATTTCCAAGAAACACGAAATAGTTTATATCACTGTTACAAAAAATGCAAATTTAAAGTGGGTTTTGTCTGTAAATTACTGTAAAAAGCAAAAAGTTCTCTACGTAGCGAAGCGGAATTAAAATATAAAATAACTGTTATTGAAATCAGTGTAAAAAATGATAACGTGATAAATAAAAACTACTTCATACAAATGGGTAATTCAGATAATTGGTTATAATAATAATAGAAAAGTAGATGTAAAAGGACGGTCTCAACAGTTTTTTTCCAGGCATATGGTTGATGATTGTCTAAAGGAAAATCCATTTAAAATATTAAAAATACTATACTAAAAAGAAATGGGCGCTACAACCCTTGGCTTCAGATTTCGGTATCTGTTTCGTGTTTTTTTTTAATAGGCAAGCAGGTGATTTGCCAGCCTGTCTGTCATGACGCTTGCCTTCACCGTATAAGCTAGTGTTAAATGTGCATATAGAAATGAAAATCCATTGGTGCACAGCCAGGGTTCGAACCTGAAACCACAGGAAATCGCACGCTCAAGCCCAGGTCAATACTTGAAGTCGATAAATAATCAACATGTGACAATGTACAATGGCTCTCAAATAAACAAAAGTCGGATTATGTTTTTAAATTTTAGAAAGAAAATTCGACGACTTATATTATTTAATTTGAAATAAAAGATTTTAATTGTAAAAAAGTTCGTTTATATACCGGTTTAATGAAGAAGTGTATATTTTATCATGCATCTAATATCTAAAGTAAAATACAGCTTCTACCGTTAATCCCGATAAACGCTCTTATTGTCAATCATATGTCAGGTAGATTACATTTCCGGTTGATGAATGATACGTCAATTAACCGTAAATGACATTAATGCCTAATATAACAGACAGAAAGATATACATAATTTTTATTTCTAACGAAACACACAAAATAATAATTATAATCAAACAATTATGGAAAGAAAAAAAAAGAAACAAGGTACATGCATGTGTGTGCTGTGGTAGAAACTGGCCCTGGCTCAGCATTATGCTGTGCAGCAGACGTGTCCCACGCCGCTGGTCATTCTTCCAGAGACCACAACAGTTAAATAATGTAATAATAATAGTCGTAAAAATTAACAGTGTAAGTAAAGAGGTTTTGGAAGGTTTGTGTGTAAAGTATTATAAATAAAAAAATAAGAATAATTGTATAATATTGTATTTTTGTCTAAGTATGTTATATTAATTTAATGGAGATTCTATTATTTACGAAGTGTTAGATGTGAAGCCTTCATTTTTAAAAAACATGATTAATTTTGCTTAAAACGACACCGTAATTTCACCACTGTACGTAAATAACACCAGTAACATTTGGGAAGGTACGGATTAACAGGAAACTCATTAGTATAGAACAAAGGTTTGGGTTTCTGAACCGAAGAGAAAAGTTTTCACACTATTTATTGTGTATACAGTTGTGCGAACTTTGCCTATGAATAATGCTTTTGATACTTACCGATCAGTTTTTTTACATAGCATTAAAGCATTTCAAGCTTAACACAGACTAATATTCCAACTAAGACAGGCTTAAAAATGCAGTTACAACTTTCACCTATAAAATACTGTAGATTAAATGTAAGTAATTATCATCTGTGTAATTGCTTTAGCCTATTGAACTTGTAATTAAAAACTTCGCTGCTAGTTAAGTTTATGAATTTAAGAACATTTTTTCCTTTAAATCTAAAAATTTGTACCTTACAACTTCATACAATTGGGTTTTTGAAAAAAACATTTTTTTGTGATAAATGAAAGGATCATATAAAAGTTTTATAACAAAACTATTTTTGTTTTATTTTTTTTCGCAATAATTCAAAAGTTATTTCAAAATAAAAATTAATATTTGAATCCAGTACCGAAAACACGCCGAACAATCCCGAGCGCGTGTGACGTCATAATGTTAGTTTTCACTCATTGCAGTTGATAGAAAAATAATAAATACAGTGTTTTGATCTATTTAATTTTGTTAATTAATATTAATATTTAATATATGAAATATACTATATATATACATATATATTAATAGCCGTTAACGCTGTACTGTTATTAAATAGCTTTAACATTATGACGTCAAAACTATGGTGATCATTCATGGCGTGTTTATAGTCACGTGATTTTTATTTAAATTTCATCAATTTTTAATTGTTTATAATTAATTGAAAACAGATTTTTTTCAAGCTTTTTGCATTAAACATCAATATTATTAACAATAAAGTTTTAAAATACATAAAAAAAATCAATAAATTTTTTTTTCAAATACCCAATTACTGAATATTTTGTCACGCTTTGTTAACGTATCGTAACACTAGAGGCGTTGCGATCGATTCTAATTGGTCAAACGACGTGTCAAAGCTTATACTGTTGACCAATCACAGTCGAACGATGCGCACAATAGTTTCGTCTCTCGATTCGAATGTCACCGTAATTTATACTCCTTTTACGAGTTTTATTTTAAGTCCTTCACTTTTTTATCTAGTTTTATCTTAATGTAGTAGCTTGGTATTTGCTTTTTTAAATAACGAAGTAGTAATTATGCATGTCAATATTTTAAAATGCTTTTGCTATCAATTACGCTTGACTTATTTACTTAAAATCAAATGTCTAATTTCAGAATTAATAAACTACACCCAGCCGGTATATGTGTGGCGTGATGATCCCAACTCTCGACAGAACACAATCAAGGAAATAATTGAAAGAGCGACATCTAAGGAGGATTGGCCCCAGGTAATTTTACGAAAGGATATGCGTAGGTATTTATTAATATATTAAAGTTTACCACATCATATATAACACTATATTAGTTATGGTAAGAACTTCCCCGTTCGAGCGAATGTTAAATGCGGACATAGAAAGAAAGTCCATTGGTGCACAGCCGGGGATCGAACCTACGACCTCAGGGATGAGAGTCGCACGCTGAAGCCACTAGGCCAACACTGCTGTAACTAGATTTAGAACTGCAAATAAAAAAAAAGTGAAATCCCTTTTTCAGAAAAACCAGTCTAATTGAAATAACTGTGTAAATTAATTTGCCTAACCTAATAATAGTGTGTTTTATAGTCACGGCGTAAACACAATTTCATACAAAAAGACGAAAGTGTACTTCAGTTACGTAATTAGAATGATTTAGTTTTTATATACAAAGGGGGAGAGTCGTTTATTTAATATTTCCCTTCATAATTGTAGAAACTTACAATTATTTAAAATTAGTTTTGATTTTGGATATCGCACTTTTGTTACCTACTTCAATACAAAATTTTAGTATTGATCCATGATATACCTATGTAGCAGAATGAACAAAGACTGTTCAAACGAATTCGGGAATGAAAAATAAACACGGACGCTTTCACGAAGCTTATGAAAAGGCTTTTAATAACACAAAAATCCATATCGATTTTATTTCAATAACTACTTACTAGGGTGTAGTTATTTAAAATTAGCTTTATCTTCGTTACCTTAAACAAGGGCAGTACTTAATTACGTACTGCGGTTATTTTTATCGGATCTTTTTGATTGTGAGCTTACGTAACTCAGTTTTACAAGCCCTGGTTTAATGAATTCACATATAGTGCGCTTCTAAGGAAAACCGTACATTTTATTTGAATGAGTCTTAGCTATGATTTAAAAGAGGGAATTTGGCGATACATATATCATTATCATGTTAATTTGTAATACTCGAAATAAAGAAACATAGCAATAGAATTCTTTATTTGATATCTATTTATTTTACTTACAAAATTAAGAAACATTTACATGTGTGTAACGGGCGACATAAGCGATGTTCCAGATCGAACGAAAGATTTTTTTCAACGATCTTATTATAAATACCAGAAGTTAGTACACTTGCTATCTTTGCGTTTGTTCATTGATAATTTATTTTTTAGGTAAGTATTAGACCTTTGTGCCTGATATATCTTATCGATACTTATAAAACACCGATGTGGCGTGCCATATACATGAATTATGAAAATCACAATTAAGTAAAATAATGTTATTAAATAATAATTATTTTAGGCTCTTAGTTCTATTAGGCATTTAATTATACGAAATATAATTCCAGGTGCTAATCTTTCCCGAAGGAACATGCACGAACCGATCATGCCTGATAACCTTCAAGCCTGGAGGTTTCTACCCAGGTGTTCCCGTTCAACCCGTCACCATTCGATACCCCAACGCTAAAGATACGGTTACTTGGACCTGGGAGGGACCTGGCGCGTAAGTTTGTTCAATAAAAATAACAAGATTGATTTTTCCAAGGCATTTTTTCCATTGGACGCCATATTTATTTTCTAATACTAATTTTACGATATCTCTTATGAACACAGGTAAAAAAGTGAGACGGAAATACTTTTGGACATTAGCCGCCGTGGTCAAATTAGTCGAAAGAAATTTTTATGTTAGAGAAATCAAGCATATATCTCTTTCATCAACAGACATCGGAGGCAATTAAATTTTTATAAACATTTGAACAATTTCAGATTAAAACTCCTCTGGCTGACATTGACACAAGTACACAGCTCGTGTGAGATAGAGTTTCTCCCTGTCTACTATCCTAACGAAGAAGAGAAGAGGAACCCTAAACTCTTCGCCAGGAACGTTAGAGATGTCATGGCCAAGTAAGTGAATGATTGTCAAGTTCAATACGAATTGTCGACAAAAGAATTTACATTTAAACCGTTCTAAGATCTGTTGGTTGAGTTTATTTATTTTCGTCTTTACAGACAAAAATCGAATAATTATACGAACTACTAACACACTAATGCTGTGTAGATAAAACTTGAAAATCATTTTTTTCTTTCATTTCACTGAACATGCTTTTAAAAATATTACTCTGAAGAATCTGCAACTCAAATCAAATTTTCGTCGCAGTCAAAAAGAACATTTAAACAAAACAAAAATCCCACGTAATCTAGTTTTTAATCCACCCAAAAAAAATTATTTATCTATTTCTTAAACTATTCTTATTTTTCATTTTATTTTATTTACTATATACGTTTACGCAAGACATCATTACTTACACTGCTTTTACAAATACTATTTTTTTTCTTCAAGTATTATTATTACATTATTTTTCTTTTTTTGCGACTGGGGTGCAAACTAGCTGTTGTGGTCTCTGGCAGAATGACCAGCGCTGTGGATCAGTCTGCTCCTCAGCATAATGCTGAGCCAGGGCCAATTACAACCACACACATGCACACTTAAAACGTACCGTGTTCTTTAAAAGAAAAAAAAATCGTTCTTTTTTATATTTTTTGATTATTGTTATTTTGTGTGTTTATGTGTGTGTTTTGTTAGTAATAAATGTTATTTCTATGTGTGACATACACATAATGTTTAAGATAGAGAAATCATGTCCTAAATGGAAAATGAGTTAGAAAAAAATAAGTGTAAAATTTTTAACTTCATACGTTATTCATTAATTGTAACATTTATAACATTTGATTGAACGGTTATTTCAGAGCTCTCGGAGTACCAGTACTGGACTATACGTATGATGACTGCCGACTGATAGCAAAGGCCAAACAACTGGGCATTCCCGGAGGCGCTTCTATTCGGGAAGTCGCCGAATTGAGGGCCCAGCTTAAGTAAGTAAATTGATACATCACAACAGTTACAATACACTAAGTAAAAAAAGTGTCAACATGAAACATCGAAATATAAAAATTACTAGCCAGGGTCGGTTATTATATACATAAATATATATATATATATATAATAATAATAACTATAACTAAATTGAAATTTAAACATCTCTTTATAAGGTTTGATAAACAAAGTTACGGTAAGTTGGAAGATTGTTGTAAAATATATGAATATTTTCATCAATGTATGTAATTATGTTGTAAGAGCGTTGACTGTGTGTGATGTTGTGGGCTTGATAACTAAATAAATAAATAAATAAATAAAGAGCGAGATAGCCTATTCACTGGACGATGACATAGCGATTTCATCCCTAGCTACAGTATCTTTGAGTAACTTACGCTATCATTATTTCCAACATATAAAATACATATATCAATAATCATATATATAAATAAAAAATACAAAAATCTCCCGCTGAAGTGGGGTTAGGTTACTAGTTTGAAGGAGACCTTTGAGTTTTAGTAAATTGTATAATTGCAGGCTGGACGTCACTAACTACGAAGTGGACCTAATAGAAACAGGTCTGCAGGGCTCTCCTCGCTGGCTGACCCTGGAGCAGTTCGCCTTGAAGATGGATGTGCTCATCACCGTGCCTTGCTCTCGGCTTTACAAGATATTTGTGCAGGTCATTTTATTTATTCACATCGTAACAGATGCTCTTTAACTCTGTTCATCAAAATTAAGTCAGTTTAATTTCACAGTAAAGAGATGGATGAGTTATTTTAATAAAATAAAATAACTCATCCATCTCTTTCATCACTGCGTGATAACAATTTGACAAAAAGGGACGAAAGATTATTTTACTGCATTAGACTGATTAAGTTTTTATGAATAATATACATAAAAGCTAATAAAATTGTCGTTTTGGTCAAATTTATACATCCACAGAAAATCATTAAAAAAAACGTGTGGCACTCGGGGACTGCCGGGGCTTTACCCGCTATTGCATAGCATTTTTTGTCATCTTATGCAATTATAATTATTATTATTTTTTTTATTTATGCAGTAGGTATTTGTGTTTCTTGGATTAATTCAAGTTTTTTCTTTGATATTATTTAAATCTACCACTCTACCAGACTCAGACTAAAACGCCTATATAGTCTGTCTCACTCTAACGCGTACCGGCTGCACCGGCCGCGCTTCAGCTACATCACCGATCTCGTCAGAGAGATGGGAATGCGCAGTATGCGTTCTGTCCCACTCTAACGCGTATTTGCCGCACCTATATTACGTCATCGTGTGTAAGGTTTTTTTCGTTACGGAATTTCTTGATTCGGTCGCCGCGCTCAAAGCCCGCGATAAAATCTATGCAATAGCTTAAACATGTCTATGTTAAGTTTTACAACCAATTACCGGCTGTTCCGTAGGCTCGTTTGCCCCATCACATAAAAATATATAAACACAAAGTAATTTTTTTTATTGATAAAAGCTTTCCAACTCTAGCCACACTGATAAAAGAACCACAATATACAATTTTTTTTTTAATGTGACAAGCTAATACTATACAAAACAATTTAAATAACAAAAAAAATGTGAGCCGTCACGGGACTCCTGGCAGATGTGAAACATCGACATAATTTTGTAAAAGTAATATGCAGAAAAGAACACATTGTGATAGGAACTTAATATGTCATAATGATAAAATAAAATATTACGATTTTTTTCCAGATAACGATGACTATTTATTGAATAAACATTTATTTTCATTAAATACAAAAATTTACGAATTTCAAATCGTGACTACTTAATTCGTTTAATCAGTGACTTCGAAATACATACAACGTACACACTACTGCATATAGACTGTATATATATGTAAAGAGAATGATCTCTTTAATTTGAATATTCGCGCGCACTGCTAGTTCGTGAGTGCGCCGCGTCGTGTCACGTCAAGCTAGCTGACATTGTCAAAGATGTAAAGGACAAATATGCTGAGATTGTTGAATTGTATTTTAATTTTATTTGTTAATTAATTTCATACTTAGTTAAGCTATATGCATCGAGAGGTGATAACAATGAACTTTTATTGTCGTTTCTTTACTTACAGGTAAGATTGTGTTAGTCTTGTAAGGATTGTACCAGTGTGTAACCTACTCGATAAATAAAATTGCATTCTTTACTTACAGAGAAACAAATAGAAGTTTTATTTAGCCTCTTGCAATTGAAATACAGACTATTGTCTTATAAAACGACAATACTTGTTTATAATGGCACAAAAATTGCAGTTTGCATTTAAGCTGGAAGCATCACAAACTGACAATAAGACGAGTGTAATTGCCATAACCTCAATTACAACAGAAGATGACAAAAAGTATACACTGTCTGAGACTGATAAATACGCGAGTCGTCATATAGCATTAACAAAAACAGAAACCTACAAAAGAGTGAGAAAAAGTTTAAATCAAAGAGGTCAAGAAAGAACAATATGGATGACATGTACAGAAGAAATGATTCAAGCCTATTTTGATGAAGATAATAATTTAATGTTTAACGACCTATATTTAAAAGAAGAAAAAAAACAAACAGATATTGTAGAATCCACACAGAAGAAAAAGGGTCTACTAAATTTGAAAAATATATCAGAAAGATTCATGATTGAGAAATTTGTATGTAAATTCTCAAATGCGAAACAGTGGATAGAAATATTCGAGAATGAATGTAAACGATTTGAGATTGAGGAAGATACAACAAAGATAGAAATATTAAGATTATTTTTGGACAAAACATGTGCAGATTGGCACTCGGCAACATTGAAGACTTTGAAAATCGAGGCTGGATGGTCCGAGTGGAAAAATAAATTTTTGGACACATTTGCCGATAAAGGATGGAGTTCGGGAATGTATGCCATATTTTACAAATATAAAGAAGGATCACTGATGGAATACGCCATTAGAAAAGAAAAGTTATTATTAGATATGGATGAAAATATTGGCGGGAAAAGTCTGGTCACACTTATAGCAGCCGGCTTACCTGAATTTATTAGAAACAGAATTGATCCTGAAAAGTGTGAAACCTCAACAAGATTGCTTCATGAAATAAGTAAATGTGAAAGTTTGGTAAATAATAAAAACTTCAAAATAAAAAAGGAAGAAAAAGATGACAACAAGAAATACAGTTTAGGAAAAAACCCATAGCAAAACCTGTCAGAATTTAAATAAGGGCAATCGATACCACCCAGAACAGTCTTGTTGGTTTAAAAAGAAAGAAGGCAATATACCTTGAATGCTTAGCAATAAAAGAAGCTATCAAATACTGGCAATATTGGTTGATTGGAAGAAAGTTCACCGTTTTTTCGGATCACAAACCACTAGAAAACCTCAACATAAAGGCTAGAACAGATGATGAACTTGGTGAATTAACTTTTTATTTGTCACAATATGACTTCAACATCAAATATATTCCGGGGAAGAATAATACGGAAGCAGACAGTCTCAGTAGAAACCCAGTATTGGAAGATAATGATAATGATGAAGAAATTTTAAAAACGGTGAATCTGATAACAATAGATGATATTAAGGCAGATCAGCAGAAAAACGAGAAAATAAAGGAAAAGAAAACCAAAATAATCGAAAGAAATGGGATACTATACAAAAAAGATCGAAACAGAGAAAAAGTTATATTATCTGAAGAAGCGAGTGTGAAATTAATAAAGGAAACACACACCGAATGGTGTCATTTAGGGATCAACCAAATGATAAATAAAATCAGTCCTTATTATACAGCAAAGAATTTAACGAGAAACATTAAAAGAATATGCAAAAATTGTGAAACCTGTATAAAAAATAAATCGAGAGGCCAGGATAAATACGGATTAATGTCACATCTGGGACCAGCCGAAAAACCATTTCAGATAATGTCGATAGATACCATTGGTGGCTTTGGAGGACAAAGATCAACAAAGAAATACCTACACTTGTTAGTTGATCATTTTACAAGATTTGCGTTCATTCTGACATCAAAAACGCAAAATGCTGCAGATTTCATCAAGTTAGTAAAAAAGTTCTGGAGACGGAAAACATTGAGATATTACTAGCAGACCAGTATCCAGGATTAAATTCAAAAGAATTCAAAGAATTTTTGACAGATAATAATGTAAAACTAATATTTACTGCGGTAGATACACCATTTTCAAACGGACTCAACGAAAGATTGAACCAAACACTGGTTAATAAAATGAGGTGCAAAATAAATCAGAAGAATGAAAAGAAATCCTGGACGTCAATTGCAAGAGAATGTATAGATAAGTATAATGAAACCGAGCATACAGTGACAGGCTTTGCACCAGTATATCTATTAGAAGGAAAAGTCACCAGCATTTTGCCACAAGAACTACGACAACCATTAGATACAGAAACTTGGGTTCAAAATAGACAACAAGCACTTGAAAGATCAATTAGATCACATGCATATAATAAGAAATTATTTGATAAAGGCAGAAGACAATGTGAATTCAACATAGGAGAACTGGTATATGTTGAAAACGGAAACAAATTAAATAGGAAAAAAATGGACAATTTAAGAATCGGCCCATTTGAAATAACAGACAAAATATCGAATACAATATACAAAATAAACACAGGCAGAACAAAAACGAATACAAGCTTATACCATATAACAAAACTTATTCGAATGGACGGTGGAATAAATAATGGATAACGCTGAATAATATGTACGGCTACCATGAGAATTACTGGAGCAATTCTCATCCTGAAGGAGGGAGATGTAAAGAGAATGATCTCTTTAATTTGAATATTCGCGCGCACTGCTAGTTCGTGAGTGCGCCGCGTCGTGTCACGTCAAGCTATCTGACATTGTCAAAGATGTAAAGGACAAATATGCTGAGATTGTTGAATTGTATTTTAATTTTATTTGTTAATTAATTTCATACTTAGTTAAGCTATATGCATCGAGAGGTGATAACAATGAACTTTTATTGTCGTTTCTTTACTTACAGGTAAGATTGTGTTAGTCTTGTAAGGATTGTACCAGTGTGTAACCTACTCGATAAATAAAATTGCATTCTTTACTTACAGAGAAACAAATAGAAGTTTTATTTAGCCTCTTGCAATTGAAATACAGACTATTGTCTTATAAAACGACAATACTTGTTTATAATGGCACAAAAATTGCAGTTTGCATTTAAGCTGGAAGCATCACAAACTGACAATAAGACGAGTGTAATTGCCATAACCTCAATTACAACAGAAGATGACAAAAAGTATACACTGTCTGAGACTGATAAATACGCGAGTCGTCATATAGCATTAACAAAAACAGAAACCTACAAAAGAGTGAGAAAAAGTTTAAATCAAAGAGGTCAAGAAAGAACAATATGGATGACATGTACAGAAGAAATGATTCAAGCCTATTTTGATGAAGATAATAATTTAATGTTTAACGACCTATATTTAAAAGAAAAAAAAAACAAACAGATATTGTAGAATCCACACAGAAGAAAAAGGGTCTACTAAATTTGAAAAATATATCAGAAAGATTCATGATTGAGAAATTTGTATGTAAATTCTCAAATGCGAAACAGTGGATAGAAATATTCGAGAATGAATGTAAACGATTTGAGATTGAGGAAGATACAACAAAGATAGAAATATTAAGATTATTTTTGGACAAAACATGTGCAGATTGGCACTCGGCAACATTGAAGACTTTGAAAATCGAGGCTGGATGGTCCGAGTGGAAAAATAAATTTTTGGACACATTTGCCGATAAAGGATGGAGTTCGGGAATGTATGCCATATTTTACAAATATAAAGAAGGATCACTGATGGAATACGCCATTAGAAAAGAAAAGTTATTATTAGATATGGATGAAAATATTGGCGGGAAAAGTCTGGTCACACTTATAGCAGCCGGCTTACCTGAATTTATTAGAAACAGAATTGATCCTGAAAAGTGTGAAACCTCAACAAGATTGCTTCATGAAATAAGTAAATGTGAAAGTTTGGTAAATAATAAAAACTTCAAAATAAAAAAGGAAGAAAAAGATGACAACAAGAAATACAGTTTAGGAAAAAAACCATGCAAAACCTGTCAGAATTTAAATAAGGGCAATCGATACCACCCAGAACAGTCTTGTTGGTTTAAAAAAGAAAGAAGGCAATATACCTTGAATGCTTAGCAATAAAAGAAGCTATCAAATACTGGCAATATTGGTTGATTGGAAGAAAGTTCACCGTTTTTTCGGATCACAAACCACTAGAAAACCTCAACATAAAGGCTAGAACAGATGATGAACTTGGTGAATTAACTTTTTATTTGTCACAATATGACTTCAACATCAAATATATTCCGGGGAAGAATAATACGGAAGCAGACAGTCTCAGTAGAAACCCAGTATTGGAAGATAATGATAATGATGAAGAAATTTTAAAAACGGTGAATCTGATAACAATAGATGATATTAAGGCAGATCAGCAGAAAAACGAGAAAATAAAGGAAAAGAAAACCAAAATAATCGAAAGAAATGGGATACTATACAAAAAAGATCGAAACAGAGAAAAGTTATATTATCTGAAGAAGCGAGTGTGAAATTAATAAAGGAAACACACACCGAATGGTGTCATTTAGGGATCAACCAAATGATAAATAAAATCAGTCCTTATTATACAGCAAAGAATTTAACGAGAAACATTAAAAGAATATGCAAAAATTGTGAAACCTGTATAAAAAATAAATCGAGAGGCCAGGATAAATACGGATTAATGTCACATCTGGGACCAGCCGAAAAACCATTTCAGATAATGTCGATAGATACCATTGGTGGCTTTGGAGGACAAAGATCAACAAAGAAATACCTACACTTGTTAGTTGATCATTTTACAAGATTTGCGTTCATTCTGACATCAAAAACGCAAAATGCTGCAGATTTCATCAAGTTAGTAAAAAAGTTCTGGAGACGGAAAACATTGAGATATTACTAGCAGACCAGTATCCAGGATTAAATTCAAAAGAATTCAAAGAATTTTTGACAGATAATAATGTAAAACTAATATTTACTGCGGTAGATACACCATTTTCAAACGGACTCAACGAAAGATTGAACCAAACACTGGTTAATAAAATGAGGTGCAAAATAAATCAGAAGAATGAAAAGAAATCCTGGACGTCAATTGCAAGAGAATGTATAGATAAGTATAATGAAACCGAGCATACAGTGACAGGCTTTGCACCAGTATATCTATTAGAAGGAAAAGTCACCAGCATTTTGCCACAAGAACTACGACAACCATTAGATACAGAAACTTGGGTTCAAAATAGACAACAAGCACTTGAAAGATCAATTAGATCACATGCATATAATAAGAAATTATTTGATAAAGGCAGAAGACAATGTGAATTCAACATAGGAGAACTGGTATATGTTGAAAACGGAAACAAATTAAATAGGAAAAAATGGACAATTTAAGAATCGGCCCATTTGAAATAACAGACAAAATATCGAATACAATATACAAAATAAACACAGGCAGAACAAAAACGAATACAAGCTTATACCATATAACAAAACTTATTCGAATGGACGGTGGAATAAATAATGGATAACGCTGAATAATATGTACGGCTACCATGAGAATTACTGGAGCAATTCTCATCCTGAAGGAGGGAGATGTAAAGAGAATGATCTCTTTAATTTGAATATTCGCGCGCACTGCTAGTTCGTGAGTGCGCCGCGTCGTGTCACGTCAAGCTATCTGACATTGTCAAAGATGTAAAGGACAAATATGCTGAGATTGTTGAATTGTATTTTAATTTTATTTGTTAATTAATTTCATACTTAGTTAAGCTATATGCATCGAGAGGTGATAACAATGAACTTTTATTGTCGTTTCTTTACTTACAGGTAAGATTGTGTTAGTCTTGTAAGGATTGTACCAGTGTGTAACCTACTCGATAAATAAAATTGCATTCTTTACTTACAGAGAAACAAATAGAAGTTTTATTTAGCCTCTTGCAATTGAAATACAGACTATTGTCTTATATATATATACACCATCATATAGCAATGGCGACGCGTCGCTACGGCATGCGTCGCCACGCCAGAAATCGGTTTTACGTGCGGCTATAGATGTTTCACATCAAAACTAAACGTAAATCGATTTTAAAGTGTGAGCAACATACGCTTAGTAAGATGTATTCTGACGATATATTCTATTACGAGTTATGACTCTAAAAAGGGTACTCGAACGTAATAAATAATTAGTTTAAATTATTTTGCAGCAACCCATAAACTTGATGTACTTCCCTGACTACCTCCTAGCGACGCTTTTCATCTTGTATCAGCACGAACCACTTTCTCTGTTAATTGCCTATGGATTTAAGGTATGTGATCCCAATGCTGGGGTATGGGGCATGTACAATTATAAACATTCATTATATGCGTAGGTTTTAAATATGATTTTGTAATCACAATACGTCTAATAAACTGCCAAGCACAGACCATTTATATGACTATTCAATGGTAATGATACAGTATAAACTCTTTATAACATCACTCGTTATAACGAAACGTTCTCTATAACGTAAAAATGACTTAAATTTATTTGGTTTAACACAAAACCCATAAATTAATGCGTTGTGTTATTTCGTATAATTGTTTTATTGAGGTGCCGAAATTTCTAAGAAACACACCTGAGGTCATAAACAGCCGTCTCGCGTTTGTTATTGTTAATTGCATTAACACGTGTGCCATTATTCTTAGATTACATTGCCTTTAGGAAATGTTGGGCTCACTTACTAAACGCACCATCGTCACCTATCTATTATATATAATATACTAGCAGACCGGCCAAGCATTGCTGTGGCTAAGGTTTTAGTTATATTACATAGTAGTAACCTATTCAAGGGAAACGGTAGGAGAACACCAGTCATGGGGACCACCATGCTTTTTTGGTGGTCATGCCATTCAATTGTAGCTTATTTGAAACGTTGGTACTTTCAACACAGCGCCATCTGGTAGTATTGTGACTATCAAATAATAAACAAATATTTTGCAATAAAATAATATTGCGGGTATAAATTGAGATGTAAGCTATCCTATCTTTTAAGTTAGATCAAACTGCACACGGTGTGCAAATTAATTGAAATCGGTTCAGTAGGAGTCCATAGCGGACAAACAACGTGACACGTAATTTATATATATTAAGAAGATATATGTATAAATTATTGTAATTGGTTAAATTTTTTCTTATCCATCCGTATTACAAAAATTCTCTATAGCGAAAAAAATGCTCGGTCCCTTGAAATTCGTTATAAAGAGTTCAGATTGTATATATCAAATTGTATGGGCGGTGGGCATTTTTTTACCTATTAGGATGGGTACGGGTACGTGTGTATGCAGATCTGACATTTTTCTTTTAAAGAACTGTGGTTCCATAAGATTTGCTTTAACACTTTAAGTCTTAAACTTTAGCAGTTAAAGAAAAGAGACTCTCGTAAATAAAAAATGTTTTGAATTTTGACGTACGGGTATCATTTGTAAGTATCGTTTCTAAATCTCACCCCAAGAGAAGTAAACCTGAAATCCGTAAAATGTGCAATTATGAAAGATTTTTTTTAAAGATTTTCGATGGCTCTGGTATGGGGAGATTAGATCTCACAAGCTTCGAAGAGTTAGCGGCTCGAACTCTCAATCTTGGACCGGAGGACGCTCACAATCTCTTCAGAGGAGCTGACGTCGAGAAGAAGGAATATATCACATATGGTAAGTTTAAGAGATGGTAGAAGAATATTCTTAACTTTTTGAAAGTCTCTTATCGTAGTACGCTCTACTTTAAAGGTCTCTCTTTCAACTCAATATTCTTTTCGGGGATTTTGAACCCGGCGTGTCTGGGTTTTACTCTTCTTAACAAGAAAATCACGGAAATTGAAAAATTAAAAAAAAAAATTGAATTTGGTTCTAGATAAGATCGTATATATTAAATAAAACAAAAAACAATTATACTAAAGTTATTATTAGCCTAAGATATACATAATACTAGTGGACCCCACAGACGTTGTCCTGCATGATATTTAAAGCGATTAGGATATTAAGCAAAGTATGAAAGTACCGACTGCAGTGCCATCTGCCGGGCTGATTTGTGAATCTAAACCATTCCCAGATCCCCTTGAACACACACAAAAAATTTCATCAAAATCGGTCCAGTCGTTTGAGAGAAGTTCAGTCACATACACACGCACAGAAGAAATATATATATTAAGATATACAAAAAGGGTCAAACATTTACGAAACTTCGAAAGGATCTGATGATTTTTCTTTTTTTTTTCTGCTTAGTGCCAAATTTTCTGCTTACACAAATTTCATTAAAATGAATTTGAAATTGTTATTTTATGTTTATATTAAAAAAAATATTTTATTTTAATGTGTGCTTGTATTGTCGTGTGTGTTTTAGTTGTATTTTTTTAAATTTCTATTTGATTTTTTTTTGAGAAACTTATGCTTGCATCAACTGTCACACATTTTAGATGTAAGATTTTGAAAATAATTAGTAAATTTAGGACTGTGTGTGATGTCGTAAGCTTGATAACTAAATAAATAAAAAAAAGGAACATTTTAATAAGTAATACCTAACTCGGCTGTGATGTGTGATAGAGTGAAAGTGTGAGTATGTGTGTGAAGGTGGGTGAGGTGTGCTCATGATGCAGTTGACTTAGCGTTATAGATATTCTCAATCTTTTAACCATATTCCGCGATAGCTTAAACAAGTCTAAGCATAAATATTGGTCTTGGTATGCCGAGTTTTTTATAGTTGGTGTTAATATAATTTCAGATGAATTCGTGGCCTACGGAATGAAGAAGCCGGAGCTGAGCTTCGTGTTCACCAGAGACGGGTCTCAAAAGGTGAAAGTCCAATGAGAGTTGCAGGTTCACATCCCCGCCGTGTGCGATCTCCAAATGCCGGACTAAAGGCATGGAGACGAAGCGAGCGAGAAAGGGTAGACGATTTTTTTAAATTATACCAAACATTTTTATTCCTTTGATACTTTTATGTACCAAATAGGTAGGAATTCTCTTTCGCATATTATATCGTATTGGTGATTTTATAATAGCGAAGTATTTCATTATTGCGAGTATTTTTACAAACCCTTTTATTATATGGAATAACATCATTTCAAATATTGTAAGAGTTCGATTGTATAATATATATGTATATGTTCTTACTCAAAATGATAATCGAACATATGATTAAAAGTTCTATCCCTTTCATACATCGCTTGCTTTTGGGGATTGTGAACGTAACTTGTAAATACTCATTATTTAATACTCTTTCGAATACACAGCAAAGCATGCTGTCTCTTTTTAAATAATACTTAGTGAAGGAGACCGATATACCGAGTCTTCAGTCGGGTATAGTGTTAGTTAAAAGCGGTTGGTCTAGTGGCTTCAGCGTGCGACTCTCTTACCTGAGGTCGTAGGGTCGATCTCCGGCTGTGCACCAATGGACTTGATCAAGAAACAGAAACAGAAATCTAGCCCAGACCTAAAAAGGTTGTAGTGCCACTGATTTTTTTATAGTATAAAGTAGTAGCTTCTAAGTAGAAATTATATAAGCTTAGCTTAAATTGGCTTTACTGTTATAGTAGTTTATTGAATTACGACTTTATCACATTGTATTAAGGTGTACTTTAGAATACACAATGATTTGAGGCTCATATTATGGTTTCTCAAATAGCAATGTTTCGAAATATTAAAGTTATAATAAAATAGATATATAAAATTCTTGATTATAATGCATATAAAAATAAACAAATGAATATTGCATATAAAAAATTGTCAAATTTAGTATATATTTTCCAAATTCTTTCGAAATATTTGGAAAAGTCTAGGTTACTTCCATTTTAGAGTTTGAATCATTTCCACAAACAAGAATTGACACCTTACAGAGCCATTAATTATGTGATAATCGTAAATTTAGATGCTTTTGTAAATATTCTTGATAATAAGCTTAATAGGTAGTAATAATCTGCAAATTAATGAATATAACCTTATTAAAGTATATGACCCTCTCGTTTCATCACAGCATAAATACAATTTGATAGAAAGAGACAAAAGTGTACTTCAGTCGTAAAAGCGGGTAAAAATAAAAATATCTAAACTAGATATGTGACGGTGAACATTAAGATGTCTTTTGCTCACTAAATGCTCAGTATAGCTAATTCATATCCAATATGATTGTACTCGTGGGTGTTTTTGACAGTGACAGATTGTCAAATGTCACATTTTTAATAATATTCATTACGTATTTTAAACATCTCGATTTGCTAAGTCTTGAATCTAACAAAAAATAACAGTATTATTTTTGTATTTCGATCTAAGTATGTAAATGACTTAGCAGTTTTGAGTAAAATATGTATGTAATTATAACCCTCAATTAACCGATTTAGTTATAAAAATATATTAGTTACACTAGACTGCTTTTGTTTTTATAAATAAGGGACACGTGACTTGGCAAGAGTCGTACGCGCAGAAATGTTTAATTACCTTCCGTAGATACTCGGAGTCATTACTTATTGGATTTACATAACATTTTAATCTATACTAAGTGCTCTAAAGTGAGCGTGACTCTGAGTACGACACCTAACTTTTTCATATTGTCAATTTACGATGATATAACTATCGTGTCTTGTGTGTGTTTTGACCTTTAACTAATTGAGGTTTATGTTATTTATTAATGAGACCTTTAGTATTTAATATTCTAACAACACATTTGTAGCATATACCATAGGATTGCTAATGATTATAATAGTTAATTATTTTTATAAACGTTTCTTTAAGTAAACAGTAGATTTGTTTGTAAATATAATTTTTAAGTTATTTATAAGCTCAAGAGGCGGACTCTTCAGTTGTTTTTTGATTTGTCGAAAACCTTAATCAGTTTTTAGAGTATTATTTTGTTATGTTTTATGCTCAGCATTCCGTTGTTTGTAATATTATTTTATTTATTGTAAAATAAACGTCGAATAAATTGTCTTTTGTTTTATTTTAACTACGTCAATGCAAGTTACACCCTAAAAGAGCATGGACCACAATTCAGTCTATTTCATTGATAAAGAAGTACTCTTTGGTCTCCAATAGGCTGTCACGGAACATACAACAGACTGGTAGGGTAAGTTTTTTTGTGTACTAATTTATTAAGCAAGCAAGATATTGTTCCATGTGCCTCGTAAGAACACGAATTATCGGCGTAATTTCCAAATGTATCAGGTTTTTAAAAACTACAATAAAATTTATAAAGATATACATTTTCACCTTACCAAAGAGGGTGAGGAAATATCTGAGGAAGCGGGAAGAAATCATTTAGCTGTAGTAACAATTTCTTTTTCTCTAAAATAGTAAGTTGTTTGATTAATGTTTAATTTCAGTTTTCTGTTTCTTTAACCCATGAATGTACTTCATTAACTTATGTTTTCTGTTTCGGTTTTCTGGTTAACAGTGTCATCTGTTTTCTTATGATGAGTAGTTAAATTTTAACCGCTGTCGCGTGCGGAATAACATTAAACCGCATACCGTACCGCACAATTATTAAAGGATACAGTGCTTGGAGTGGGACACACTACCGTCGATGGTAAGTACCTACTAGTCTTAGTCTGATCGATTATTGGATTTCTTCTATTAATATACTGACACGCGACAACCGAACCAGTGCTTAGTATTTTACAGAGGGAAGGGAGCATCCTGGATATAGCTTCCGGATACCGGAAGTCCCACACAATTACTTATAAATAAATATGTATTAATTTCGCAAAACTACGGTTAGAACTGTTTCAAACTAAACATACAAACCAAACCAATTAGATTCCCAGTAATCAATAAGTGTTTATATCAACGAACTTCTTCTCTCAATGAGGAAGATCCTCAACAATCCTAATATCTGGTTCACCGACCGGCTCAATTTCTTGATATTCGTCATCTTCCGCTTCTTCATCATGCTTACCTTTGAATTTTTTCCTTAAACTAAATATTCGTTCTACCATATCATCAACATCCACATGCGCCTGCACAATACGTTCATAGATTACCAAATACCATATAAATTTTGTTTTATCTTTGAAGTTCTTCATTGTATTGTATAGTCTATCGAGTTTATATCGTATTTCTAGAACAGCTCCGTAATAAATCGCCGTCTGGTACGCCGCATCATTTCGATATTTTAGCCTGTATTTTCTGGTTTCTTCTAATCGGTAGCGTGTTGCATATATATGTTGTTGCATCAATTCTAACGCTTTAGCTGTATATTTCTCGTTTGGTGCTGCATCGGAGATCTCCCATCTGGTCTTGGACCGACGTTGTGCAATAGCAGTTCTGGTTATGTCTTTCAATCTATCCGATTCGAGTAGCGGAAACTCTATATCGTTGGTGTTATTTCCGAATGTATAGTCGAGTATTGTTTCTTGGCTTATATCGGTTTGCGCAATATTTTTTATGTCGCTTTGAGGCTTTGTTGTGTTGAAATTTTTAGTAGATATGGTGATTACTAGAAACGTAATGATTGTATAAATTTATAATACACAAATACTCTTTAAAAAACTTTTGTGATAAATATTGCTTAGACTTTTAAGTCTTGGTAGTTTCCTAGCTGGAAAGACGGTTAGTTTCTAGAACTGATTATAAATTACTTACATAAACATTCTATATAAGATGGAAACAGTATGATTTTAAGCGACATGCTTAACATGCTTTGTGAATTACGATAACTCAAAGAATACACTGTAAATAAAATGATATTTTCATGTGTTTTATGAACAGTTTTAGTATACTGTTTAATTATTTGATAATAAAATTGCTATAATGTACCGTGCACAGTAATTACTAGATAAATCTAAGAAGGCCATACCATACCTCAAATTTGCCTTCTGATTTTAACTATTCTAGATACCTCATAGTAATAAAAACAATGGCGTATGCTTCATTTATTTACGCAATAAAAGTCATCTTTTATTAGGAATCATAACAATCAGATATACAGTAATAACAGTTTTCTTTACCTATATAGTAATGTTAAAATTAATCAAAAGAAAATTATAACTAATTAAAAAGTTTGGTCCCTGTGGCAGTGTACATTTAACGCTGGCAGCATTTCCTCGCTGTATTGCGATACATAAAAACATAAAAAAACTCTAACTGATGATTAAGTGTTAACAAAAACACATAAATATTTGCAATTTAGTAAAAATAGTTTATAATATTATTCAATTCGTGATTAATGAATATTCTCTTTACTTCACGATTCATTTGGCATTTTTTATGAACCAATTTATTAAACACTAGTAGACTCGGCCAAGCGTTGCTGTGGCTAAGATTTTTGTTATATTACATAGTAGTAAACTATTCAAGAGAAACAGCAGGTGAACACCAATCCACCATGCTTTTTTGGTGGTTATGCCATTAAATTGTAGCTTATGTGAAACGTTGGTATTTATTTTGATAAGGATCAATACCTAGGTACGAATAAAGAGCCTTTTCTAGCGGTGGTATTTTAATAAAAAAAATTTATATTAAACATTACATATTCTTAATGTAATTCATATTCTGTGTGAAATAAAACGTTACTTTTTAAACATAGCAGAATTTATGGCATATATTTGTCAGGTACAACATTAGGTATCCCATGAGCTAGAGAATATTTCTCGTGTAACTTCACAAGCACCCACCAAAGGTAGAGGAAGTCTACATGGAGTTTCGCAGACTTGTGATGCAGGAATAGTTGATGTTCCATGTTAAGTGATTTTCTGGGAAAACGAGAGTTCGAGTATAAAAACTAAGATCATATTTGAATGTAATTGTTTTTTTAGCGATAAGAGTATTTACGTGAGATAACTTTAAGTTCTTAAAATAAATTAGAAACTTGGCGTCCGTTGATAACACAATAGTCTTGCAAATTGTCTTACAGATACGTGTTAGAATGATCTTTAAGTTGTTCCCTAGTAACAAGACAAAATTTTATACACACATCCAAGCTAGTTGGATGTGGCATAGATTTTTGAATTTCAAGATGCGTATGTAATCATTTAAACATTATATATATTTAAATAAATATTATTCAAAGTTATACTTCTTTTGGCGCGTTAGGGAAATGATGAGAGTAAATTTTTACGATGCGCGCGCATTCCGAGACAAAAACCGATACCCTGAAGTGAGCTATAGTCAACATTTTAGTTTTTTCTATTGTTAGTGTCATTTTTTCTACATTTGATAAGATTACTTATCTTGTTACGCCAAAGAAGTATAACTTCTAACGCGTGTACATAAGTACACACACGTTTTTTTATACCTTTCTTTAATCTTGCACATGGTGCTATATATATCGTTCATCCTCTTAAAAATACGTATCAGACGTCTGTAAAGAAATGCGATACGATACGAAGTATCTTTAGGGTTAAAATACCGCTCAGCTTCTAGGCGTTTCACTTTATGTCTAGCCATGTAGATGAATTGCAACATAAGGTCTAAAACCTTCAGCTTCACCTCGTACTGAGAGGCTTCCTGCCATTCGTAATAACCACCGTGCCAGCCTAATCTCCTGGTATCGTTCATTCTTGGAAAATCAATTTTCACACTCATATTTAATTTCTTTTTTAGCTTTTCAATGTCGATCTTTTCAACATCGATCGTAATATTTTTTATTATAATGTCTCCTTGTGGGGCAATATTGGAAGATTGGTTAAATGTTTCGAAGAGATCAGATATGTCTGGGAATATTTGGAGGTCTTGGCTGCTCACGGTTGATAATACTAAAATTAAGGTCAGATTAAATAAAATACTCTAACTATCTCTTATCTCGGATTATAGTTCGTTATCTCTATACATATATTCCTTTTTATAGTCATTTTGTGAATAGCGAGTGAATTACTAAAGATTTTTAATTATTTTTGTAAAACATTGAACTAATTGCTAAATAATTATTTAAATGTATAAATACCGAAGCCAATACTCACTGTTGAACACCACAAGTATATACATAGCTATAAAATTATTAACGAGTGTTATATTTATCACATAAAAGAAGAAATAAATTTGTTTTTACGTGAGTTTAAATATTTTTATTTATCAAGCAAGCAGTAAACTTAAGAGCCTAGCGTGTAATTAACTCAAATGTTACATTTCCAAGTTGCAATAAACGAAAGCTTACTATGTCAGACACAGAAAACTTATTAGACATAGACATATCATTTATTACAAACAAAAACACACAAAATAACAATGATCAAAGAAAATGAGAGATATCAAAAACAATAAAAATTAAAATGAAAAAATGCCCTTTTCCCATTCGGTTCGTTTCAAGTATGTAATGCGTGTGTGCTGTGGCTGTAATTGGCCCTGGCTCAGCATTATGCTGAAGAGCAGAATGTTCCACAGCGCTGGTCATTCTGCCAGAGACCACATCAGCTAGTTTGCGCCTCAGTCGCAAAAAAAAAGAATGTATTAATACTTAGTAGAAAATAATAATATTAGTAAATGTTAGCAGTGTAAGTAATGAGTCTTGTGTAATGTGGTGTGAAGTAAATATAATAAAATTAAAAGTTAAAATTAAGAATAATTGTTAAGAATTAGATAAATTTTTTGGGCGGATTAAAAAATTGATTTCGTGGGGTTTTTGTTGACTTGATTAGACTTTACTTTAAGACTCTTCAGTGGCTATTACTTACTTAACAGATGCAGTATTTGCCCCATACCCCAGTGTGTGCAAAATATATACGTAGATAAACAATGAATGATCGGAGTCTTTTTTCAATAATTTACAAAAGAATAGTTTGCCAAAAAATACGTTGTAGCATATTAATGTTGTGATAATTTTAAATATAAATAAATAAACTTAATCCTTCACAACATCGCCCTTATTCTTGAAATATTCTTTCATCTCCTGATCTTTTATCATTTCTGAACGATTATGGAAATCTTTGATCCACAAAATGGTATCTTTCAAGTCGACGTCCATCCTCACAACCTTCTCGTAGAACCTCAATAACGCTGTCAGATTTTGCCAATTATCTGTATGAAGCTGATTTTCTGCCACCGTCACGATTTTCAATTGTTCGTACCTGTAAATAGCTAAAATGAATTCACAACAATAAAGCTGACGGGCGTTCTGGTTTAGTAGTGAATAGCAATATTCATTCTTATGACAATCTCTATTTTCCTCTTGGTCAGACAACTTAAGTGTTTAAACTGTCGAGGTTTGATTATCAACTTTTACTTAGTTATAATTTAATATAAAACGAGCACATGATGAGCTGTTTAATGCATTTCAGAATAAGAAAGAGTTAAATATGCTTAAGTTATTTACAAAAGTTAAATTAAATTCATCAGAGATCCAATGCGAAGAACATCTTTAATTTTATTTAATACAATTACGTGGCTGGTTTCTGCCGTTATATAAATATAATTTAATTGACGACTCTGAAAACAGACCTGTAACATCTATATAGCAAATTGGAGATTTTTTAAAATAAATATTTCAATAATACTCGTGCATGATTAGAACAGCTATTGAAAAAATTGTTGCAATGTTAAGTATTTTTTTCTATTGTTTTTTTTAAAGTACAAGCTTTTTTAAACTCCTTTGAAAATAATGTTAGGTAATCTACTCCTTTGCTTTGGCATACAATTCTGTTTTTGTTAACTATGAGTGTGCGATTAAAAGTATATTTGTAGTAAGAGTGGCGGAGAGTTTCTTGCCAGTTCTTCTTGCCCACTCTACGACCTTGACTTGCGAATGTAAATGTAGATCAAATCGTTTTCAAATCGCGCGACTAGACATTGTGGTAATTTCATACAACTGTTCACATGAGCGCACGTTAGCGAGCGTTAACATGGCGCTTAGAGAAAATCTCTCTCGATTTACTAATTGATGAAGTCCGGAAAAGGCCAGCAATTTGGGATATAACTTCAGAAACCTATTAAAATAAAATTATAAAATGACGTGCTTGGGAAGAATTGGTTTTAATTTTCTGTAATGATACTGATTCTCAAGAAGACTTTTTTGTAATATAACCACAAAATAACAGCTTCTTCCACGTCCATTTTTTAAGCTTTTATCGAAACAGACTGACGAGCTCCATTCTTTATAAATTTGATCGCGCGTTGACCTGCGTTAACGCGCGTTACATGTGAACTTAGCCTAAATTTAACATATTTTCTGTTGACGTTCATAAGAGTACTTGGTTACCTATATGAATAAAGTTATTTTGAGTTTAAGTTTGAGGTTTTCAATTTGTTTTTAGTGTTTTAATATTTCTTAAATAAATCCTTATACTTTACCTGATACGTCTCAGTCTGTTGAACAGGTAACCAATTTTATAACGTGTACTTTTTCGAAATTTCGCCTTTTGACTCATCACTTTTCTGATAAGGTAACGGGAGTGCAACAGAAATTGTATAGCTACGTTGTATAACCTGCGATTTTTCAGTTTTTCATTCTCATAATTTATCTCTTGGTCATCTGGATCTGTGTAGCCGTACCAATAATTGTTATAATATCTGATAGACAAATAAAAATTGTAATAAATAGACGCAATTACTTGTAATGGATCTTCATCTTCTGTTTTATTTATCATTTTTCGTGGCACATAAGTTATAAGAATTTTGCTACTAAAAGAAAGAAAATACGCAAACTTTTCTACTTCACGCAAAACGGCTATAAGCTACAAACGGAGCTATATGTAAAAACCTATGACATATCTCTCTGTGAAGAAGATTTAAATTAGAAAAGTTACGAACAAAATAATATAGTTAGAATAAATAGTTGGAACTTGGAAATAGTTGGAAAACACGTAAGACTATTTGTCCTCATTAGGTTCTAACTATTTCGTAAATCATGTTTCTAATCGAATTTGGCTAATCAATTTGAAGGGAAGGCAACAGTTTTTGTGACGGGATTCGTATTTTTTTCTTAACTGAAACACGCTGTCGAAACGTTGTGTAATGTAATGAATTTGTTTTTGTCTATTAAAGACGTTTATGTTATGATAATGATCATAAAAAAATAATACTTAGTAGCTTCTACTTAAGAAAGTTGGTGGAGAGGATTGGGAGAAAAATGCTCAAAACAGAGAGAGATGGAGCTAATTGGAGGATGCCTATACTCAATAAGAGGTCCTTGGAAAAAAAATATATATATATATATATGTATTTTATGTGTGTGTGTATATTTTATAAATTTTTCAAGGAATAAATGAGGCTTAATTATTATTATTATTATTACCTTCTACTGATGTTATTTACTATTGGGTTCAACTTGTTAAACTCTAATATATCGAATGATGAATTTTGACAGGGAATTTGATCGTAATTAGCAGCCAACAAAATAGGTAGCGTGCTTCTTGAATTGAAAAATTCGTCACTTCGCCTTCGCTTTGTATTATTATCTCTATCTTTTATTGATGGCAAGTAGAAGTCGGTGAATAGAGGAATATCGCCGTTAATCAATTCATCTATATCTATAAAATTCGATGTGATAACCGGTTCTGGTTCGCCTGGTTCTAAAAAAAAAAATACAAATAATTATGATACAACTAGCATTTTCAAAGTAACTTTACCTGGTTAAGCGTTTTTGGGTAATAGATTGATAAATCCTATGAACCCTACGGCGCCTACTTAGATAAAATATATTTCTACACTTATTTAATTAAAAATAATTTATCATGGCGATAAACCTTTTGTGCTGAACCGATTATTATTTATAAAAAGAAAATACGAGCTCCTTCAACTAATCATACAAGGCAAAGTGGCAGGTAGAAGGAGACCTAGTCGCAGACGCACGTCTTGGTTTTAAAAACCTTATACAATGGTTAGGCCAAAGCATCAATTCATTGTTTAGAAGCGCGGCATCCAAAAATATAGTAGCCATGATGATCGCCACCAACCTTCGCAAGGAAATAGCACTTCTTATAGTGGAGAACATCCTTTTACCAGCAAAGAACCCAGGACTTGTAGATCATGTGCGTTACTAAGCTAAATGGTAGCGTTTAAAGAAATATTGTTGTTTTTATTAGAATTACCTGACATAGTCTGATCACTAAGATATGTGCTGAATAAATAAAACAACGATAAAATAATTATTTCATACATTTTCTACGTGAACACTGTAAGCTCGTAAAAGAGAATTAAAACAATTGGTAAACGAGCGTAAAATGGAAAATTTTATACGAATTAAGAAAGATTATTTGCCCATATAATGTTTTTAGTATTGCTAATGCGAATCGTATTAACACACTGAAAATTTAGAGACATTTTAAATGCTTTTTATATTTTACCTTTTGTTTTTGATAAAATATCTGTACTCCAAACAACACTATGCATTGAATTATATCTTGTTATTCACCGTTAGTTTTAATTTAATTTTTTTTTTAATTTTGACACTTACGCGCTAAACACACTTTAAAGGAAAAAAACATAAAGTAAGGTTCTAATAAAATTTAAACTATATGCAATTTATGTTAAAATTTAAGTGTAGCAGAAAGACAGTGTTTTGTTAAATAAAATTTTATTGATTTATGATGATGTTAACAAAAAACCTCTACTCAACAAACTTCCACGCATCTTTCCGATTTGTCATCACTTGGTTCAACATTCGCTTACAATTCTCATCATTTAACATTACTAAATCAGTTAGAAGCTCAATATCAAACCATAAATCCAACTCCCTCTCAAAAGCCTCCAACAATTCCTTTACTAACAACCTCTCATACCTCAACCTTATGAAAAAGCATCCCATAAAAGCCTTATAAGTGTATCGAGCGAATGTTTTAACCGCTTGATCAGTTTTACTCATCAAGAAGCCCATTTTATAAACGGAACTTTGTCTGTATGTAATCCTATACGTCTGCATGATAATCATTCTATTTCGCGCCTGATAAATAGCCTGTTTCATGAGTTCAAGAAACCTTCGTTTCAGACTAAATCTATCGGATGTATTGTCTGTTAAGCCTCCGGGAGGCTCCCATCGGCGTCCGTCTTTCCTCATCGCCACTTTTGGATCTCCATTCGTCACTTTCAAAGATAACAGTTCATCTGTCCCGTCGATACCGTTGTACATTCTATCGAATTCCTCGGTGTAAATGTGTCTTCTGGTTTTATTATTCATTGTTATCTGACTCCAGACATGTGTTGGTTTAAATTTAATTAAGTAGTCCTTGAATGTCCAATTGGCGGTTGAAGTGTTGGTAAATACGGGCTTACTCTTATTAGAATAAATTAAAGGGATTAATGATAGTATAATATGAATGAAACCTGAAAAAGAAAACATTTAAAAACTGTTAAACGCTAGTACAGCAAGGCGGCTATGCTTTAGAGGTACTTATAATTAATTTCATGTACGACAGCCATGTTACTTAGAAAATAATTAGAAATAAAAAATAAGTAACACCAATTAAACGCACTGTGTATACTCTATAAGTATATTTTGTAGAGTGCTATATAAAACGTAAATGGCATTTGTGAAACAAGTTCTCGTAGCAATTGCAGCGATGTGCTACGAACGTGCTACGGCGTAGAATGTATTTTAAAAGTATTAGACTCACGTAATAGCAGCATTTGTAAGGAACTTAGTTATCTTTATAGCATTGCAAAATGTACATATTATTGCTTGTAATTGCATAGAACATCGTTAATTTTCAATGAGATTTTATGTTTATTCTTTCAGGTAATACAGAATCTAATATCTAAAACAGGATATTAAACGATTACTATATTGTGGTATTTTTATTACGCTAATTGGACAGTGGATATGATCGAAGGTTAGCACGGCAATTTTGATTGAATCATTTTTATTTTCTACGTCTATTAAAGAGGGCTATACGAAATTATTGTTATTTATATTTTAATAAGCCGCAAATAGATATTGATTTATATCAAAATTCTAAATTGAATACGAATTTAAAATAATATCCGTTAATAAACAAAACTTTACTATTTCTTATGTATGCAGTATTTCAATTGTTTTTCAAACTTTTGATAGTTATATCATTAAAATTTGCATAATAATTTTAAATTACGTTAAATATTCTGACGCATTTTCGATATTGAGGTGATCTCGGTAAATTATTCGTCACTGGCGACGAAGACTTTAGGGGTCTCATTAATTAGAACTGAAAGAAAAGTTGGTCAAACATGACCCCACATCCATTCCCCATGTCTCTTTTTGTTACACGCCTTTTAACGTTCTCCATCCTTGTCGCACCTACCCTACAGTGGACTAAGATTATAAAAATGATAGATGTGAACTATTATAAAGCTGCTTAATGAAATAAAGATTTATTATGAATACATAATAAACTATAAAAGAGTATACAAGTATGATGGTTTTTTCTTTTGTATAGTATTGTACTTTCATCTTTAGAAAATAGTTATTGACAAAAGTTATCTTAACTTGTACGTGTGGTACGTTTCCAAAATAAATTCTATGGTATAAGTATTATTAAATTATTATGATATTATGTTGTTTTTAAGCAGCTGAGCCTATTAATAAACGCAAATTGCGAAGCAAAAGGCTAATAGTTCATAGGTTCGTTCATGTATATTAATAATATTGACGAATCAGACACCAAAAATAAAATAAAATCAGTGGCGCTACAGCCTCTTTACGTCTGAGCGTCATATCGTCTGAATCTTCCTGTTTAATGATCATTTTTAAATCTATTAGGCAACTAGGGGCTCAGCCTCCGGTGCCTGACATACGCTGTCGACTTTATGGGTCCTAGACATGACGGTTTCCTCAGAATGTTTTCTTTCACCGTTCGAGCGAATGTGAAATGCGCACATAGAAAGAAATTCCATTGGTGTACAGTCGGATCAAACCTACGACCTCAGGGATGTGACTCGCACGTTGATGCCACTAGGTCAACACTGCTCACACACCAAGACCCATCTATTTACTGGCCCATTGGAGATTTAAGGATTCAAACAATAATAATAAATACCGCTCTGAATCGCCGAAAGCGATCTACTAATCTGAGAAACTAAGAAACTCATATACTTTTTGGTTTTGACGTTTTATACAAAATATTACTATATCTTTTATATGATTTATATTTTATCGTAACATTATTAAATTACTTATAGGTGCTTCTATAAATTGAGATAGAATTTGTTTATTAATAAAAAAAATATATAAGCACTAGGATTAGAGAATTTTTCGTAAATACTTTACTTAGTGCCGTATCTGTTTCACACTTTTCTGTGGCACGTAGTATGGAAACGTAGAAATGTCCAACCCCTCAGTTTCCAGTTTAATGTCGTACGTTACGTAGAAAGCACGTGATCATAATATCATTTAAATAAACACGAAAAAATGTAACAAAAATCCGAACGCGACGCGGTCACGCGATACATTTTGAGCACGCCATGTTTGAAAATTAAGGAAAACCTATTGTTTTGTAATATTTTCTTTGTGAAATTGCTTTCGGCATTGGGTGTTACCTCCTAATTACAGGTGAGTTCGGGGCTTTTTTCATTACGCTCTTCAACTTTTTAAATTGCTATAATCAACGAGAAACATTCTTTCATTAATTCATAGCTTCAAATGTAGAATTTTTAAGTTATAAATAAGGAATCTGTGTTTTTTTGCAGCGAAAAAGATTATTTCTCAACTTCAACTCTTATATAAGGTATTATATTAGAGCTAAGATTTTCAAATTATTATTTAAATGTGATAATTATTTATAATTTTTAAGGTTAGCAACAATTGTTACATACTTACGTAATTAAATTAAACAAAACTATTATATATATATTAAAAGAGCTGATTCCAAGAGAGATTCCAAGAAAATTTTATAAATATTTAAACTTTGGAAAGTTTGGGTATGTACAAAACAAGATTCCAATTAATACTATTATAAACGTTAAGAACGTCTAGTATTCAGTATTTGACTTAAAACACGAAAACCCTTGTTTTCAGAATTCTCTAATACTTGATATGATTTACATGTAAGTAGGTGAGCCTTCACGACTTATATACTATATGTCGAATTTTCGGTGTTTACACTTTATGATGTTTAGCTTTACACTGCAAAAACCATAACATTTTAAATCAAGTTATAAAGAAAGAACAGAATATATAGAAATGGCAAAAAATAAAATCACCTTCTTCAGCGAATGTAACTATTCAAATACAGCAATTATGAGCACAGACCCAAGCCTGAATAGTTTATAGAACCTCTGAATTCTATTTTTAGATATCTCTGCAGTATCTTCAATGTCACTAGGGATATTTAGGTAACTTTTTCCTATTTTTTTTATAAATTTGCGGTTTTATAATCTAAAAATATCAATTTGTTATTTGGCTCCAGAGAGATAAAAATCTAAGAGGCTTTGCTATGCTGAACAAATGGTAAAAATAACGTTATGCGATCAAAATTCTGTTAAATTGTGTTATTCTTTGTGCCACCATTTGCCCAGCTAAGGGATAACATTAATTTGATTTGATTGATTTCCATGACATCTACATATTATATACTAAAAGCGAATATTAATACACAAATATTCCGTATTTCTGTGTAAGAACCCAACATAGTTATAATATAGTGAAAATTTGTTAAATCGTAAATTTTAACAAATTCAAACAGTCCCTGAGGCAGTGTACCTTTATTGCTAGCAGCACTTCCTGGTTATATTGCGATACTTATTCGTTGAGCGATAAAAGCACCAGTTCTGGGTTCACCGGTACGATCTGCCAGGTGCCAACTTAAATCTTTAATTAGCGCCTGTACACTTGAGCCCCACGGCCCACGAGTCTCTACTCCAAAAGGAACAAAATCAAAGTTGGAGGAAATATTATAATATTTGAGCCGTTTATTATTAATTAATATAGATTTACATTATCTTGCAGATGTGTACAAGCCGTTGATTATTGGGGTTTAGCTATAACCATTATTTTCCCTTATCGTATCCCAATTCTTGATATGAAATGGATTCTTATACATTTTTCTATTTATTTCAATAACTTTTTTTTATTTTGTTTTAAAAAATCTTTGAGATAATTCGGTGTTGAATAAATCTGTTTTATTGGTGCCTCGGGTGCAGGGTTCCCACATAAGCTATAAAATGCTGGAATGTTTAAGTGTTGCCCGCATAAACAAAGATCTAGCGTATAAAAGAAAATTGAGTCTTGCAACCCTCAGGGAATTTAGGGTTAAGGATTTGTCGTTTTATACGAAAAGTTTTATAACCACGAGGTGCATAGCTTTAATGTAATACGAAATTTTATACAATCAGTGCTTTGTCATTTTAATAGACTGTATTCGGTGACAGGTGAGGGAAAGAATAGTTTTTGTTTAGAATTTTCATTAAATTTTAAACGATAAAAAAGTTCACTGTATCTGTTTAAATTAAAATTAAATTTTTGCTGTAGCTACCATTTTTACTCATAGCAAAAACTGCACACAACAGTATTTTATACATTTATTATAATTTGATTTTACATAGATCAGAAAGTAGCAAATATTGGTCTTTGCAGGACACAAAACAACTACATTACTGTATAACAGTTATTCTTGATAAGTCAAATTGTAATTTAATTGCTCCTCCATTTTCTTTATAAGACAGAGCTTTATGAAACAAACTAGCTGACTCGGAAAACGTTGTTTTGCCATGTACCTATATTATTATTTATTTCTAGGAAACATTTTTTAGTTCCATAAAAATAATTATCTACTATAATAAAAAATAGGGGTTAATCGCAGAGGGGTGACAATTTAGGGTTGTATGTATTTTTTAATGGCACATTATAAAAAAAATTAAAAATTATAATTTCGTCCAAGAAATAAAAATAAAATGTTAGGTGTGGACAACCCTTATTACTTAGGTGTATGAAAAATATATAGTAGCCGATTCTCAGACCTTCTGAATATGCATATAAAATTTGATAAAAATCGGTTGAGCCGTCTCGGAGGAGTATGGTATCTAACATTGTGACACGAAAATTTTATAAATAAGATAAGTCAATTATTTGTTTTATAAAAAGATATTCAAACAAAAACAGCATAAATAACGCATTTTTACAAATTCACTGTACACTGTTACGAAACGTTACATGTGTACAGTTGATTCTTATTATTTAAGAATCAACTGTACAGTTTTAGTTTTAAC